AGTTAGGTTGAAAAAAATTTACCAGTAACACCAGTAAACAATGAAGCGATGCACCAACGCACACCACCGCTGTGAGGTGTGGGGTACAGTTGCCAGGGGCAGATCTCTTGCGTCATCATAGCAAGCCCAAAATAGCCAAATGCATGGTATGGTATGCACAGGAGTATGTAAAACATAAAGGTATTCATTTTTAAAGTTTATTTATAGATACATAAATTTTTGTTAATTAAATTTGAAACATCAATATATGATGTGAGTCAGGTCATCTACACAGTTGCCAGTTTCAAAATTTTCCTTTTAAAATTTAAGTTACAGTATTTCTTTTCTCAATCGTTTACAATACTGTAGGTAAAACAGTATACTATTGTGCAAACCCACAGAAAAAAAATTAACAAATGGAGACGCAAAAATGTGAAAAAAAAAAAAATCTTGTCTGACTTGCAACACTGTTGGTGGGGTCCAGGTGGTTCTATGATGCCTGCCAGGACCCATTAATCAAATTTATAAACAATATCTAACTCAATTACTGTAGTTTATCTGAAGTGTAGGCAATATAAAGTAAAAATACCAGTTAAAAAAGTGAAAATTGGAAGAGAATAAACAAAAAGCATGTTGGGCTATTTTGGTAGGGCTGAGGAGAGAGTACCCATGTTTGGTCTTTTTTTAGGCGGGAGAATCCATAAATATCCGTACTAGTATTTGTTGAGTGTCTTCTGTATTTTAAAAATGAATACTTGTAAATTAAATGCCGTAACATTGTATTATATAAAACTTGTCATATTTCCTGGAAAATAAAGCAAGAAATAAGAATATAAACCTGTAATTTCAACGTCTTCAAATTAAGCTGTAGAGCCGGTCTAACCTAAAGCCTCCGACCAGGGCTCTGCCGTATTATCAGCTAGGCAATTACCGCGTGTTTTAGAGATCGTTTTTTCCAGTTAAAAAACTTTTACATCACAAGTGAATTAGGATGGGAATATTGACCATATTATAGCAGTTTAACTGAAACCATTCAAAAGGCGATTACGGTAACATCTTGTGAGCGAAAAGAAACCATTGTTTTATGGAATTTTATCCACTTTCCACTATAATAAATGCGTCATTTCAGCAAAATATTACATTTCCATATTCTCAGGCAAATAATGGTTTTTTGCTAAAGCGTGATATTTCAATGTAAATTAGGATAAACTACATGTAGAAAACAAAAGACTTTACTAACCTTCGATGTTCAAGATATGTTACTGTATTTTTAATAGTTTTCGGTTAAAATACTGTTATATTAGTGATATTCTATTCATACTGTGGTTGATATATAATACCTTCCGCGAGGAAATGTAACTATTTTTTGCTGAAATGACATCGTATTACAGTGGAAAGTGGGATAAAATTGTGATGAAAACAATGACTTTAGCTTTGTTTCGTTCCACAAAACATGTTACCGTAATCACTTTTCCGAATGGTTTAGTTAAAAAACTGTTGTATTGTATTACAATAATATCCTAATTGACTTGAATAAATATTACGATACCATATTTCTGAATATTTTCATTAAAATCCATCAAAATCATTTTCCTTGTCATCGTCTGCAGCACCAAACAGCTTCTCCCAGTCCTCTTTGAACAGGGCTAGAGGAAAGTGTTTTTTTGAATCGTTTCAGTTAAAAAACTATTACATACCGTATATTTTACCTAAACTGTGCCTGAATGAATATACCGAGGAAATAAATAGTAATTTTGCTGAAGCATTGATGTATTTCAATGTAAAATAGGATAAAATATGCATGGCGAAAACAAAGACTTCACCTAAGCTTCGATGTTGAGATGTTATTACGTTTTTTAATAGTTTCGGTTAAATTCTGTTATATTACAATGATATTCTATTCATACTGTGCTTGATATACTGCATTCCGCGGAAATGTAACATTTTTCCTGAAATTAAATGCGTATTACAGTGGAAAGTGGGATAAATAAGTAGCCGAAAACAATGACTTCAGCTTTCTTTACGTTCAAAAGATGTTACCGTAATAAGCTTTCGAATGGTTTTAGTTAAAAACTGTTGTATTACAATAATATTCCCTCTAATTGCCTGAATAAATACTTGAATGAAATATGCAATATTTTGTTTAGAAACTACCTGCGTTTCAGTGTAAAGTGTAAATGAAAAATAATAAATGGTAAACAAGTTTATGGGGCGTAGAGAGTTTTCTGAAGGTTTTTGTTGTTCCATTACCCTCAAAAACTGGAATTGGAGCCTATAAGCGAGGAATATCTTGAAATAACGATTTCTTGGTCATAAAATAAAATTAGCCTATATCACGAAGGGGTTATGAAGCAGTATACGGATGCGGAGTTGGATGCCAAATTTTGTTTTGAGTATACAGATCGGAGTAAACAAAGAAATACAGTCCCGTAAATGTTTTTGAGTATATGTAGCCTGGTGACCCCAAGGGTAACGAGGGAGTACACGGGTAAACCACCACGTAGCCAAGATGGCAGCTCCACCAGGAGTACCAGCCCACTGATACCTGGCTTGACCCTAGCCACATTGTAAACAGCCAACTGACTTGATTGGATCCAACCAAGCCACCCATCTAGCTGGAATAAGGACAAAGAGGTGTGTTGCATGCAGTGCTGTTGCTCAACCTCCAGGACTCCCGCTTCCCAGCATTATGGGATACCACGCATGGCAAACACATGAGAGAGTATTCCAGTTCCAGTGGTCTGGGCTGGGAACGATGCTGCCGGTCTGCTCTCAAAACCAGCAGCAGGATAGGAGCTATTTTGTCTGGGCCCTCTCCGGTGACCTACCCAGTTTGGAAAACCTTCCTTCCCTCCGAGGAGGTAAAGAAGGGAGGCCAAGCCACCCTCTGGTACTGCTCACTGTATCATTGTCAGCAAGCCCCCCCACCAAGTCAAGGCGGCACCCACTGGGGAGGCATGTGAGGAAGAAAACCGAGCACTCATGATGCTCACTCTGTATTCATTGATTGATTGTAAATTCTATCTCAAGTGATGCAACAGCTTTGGTCATATGTCGCCAAATTAAAATAAAGGCTTAAAAGACTAAAATCAAATAATGTAATGTAAAAAACATAAGTAACAAATAACAAAGAATTTATATATATAAAAAAAAAACATCTAAACGTTAATAGATAAAACTCAAAGCTTGTGAAGAACGAGGGCTTCCTCCACGAAGGAGAGGACGTCCTTCCTACCCCCCAAGAAACCAAAGAGAGATGGTAAGACCCGTCTCCCCCCTCCCCGGCATTGGGAGAGGTGCTTACTACGAAGATCTCTGAGACTGGGACACTCCACCAGGAGGTGTCGAACAGCCAATGGGACCAGGCAGTCATCACAATGGGCAGGGGGTGCCCTCTCCATTAATATACCATGAGTCAGCCTTGTGTAGCCAATATGAAAGTGGGCCAAAGTATTCTCCTGGTGGCGTGACAATCCCTGATATCCCCAGGCACCCAATGCAGGATTGATGTCAAGGGGCTTGTTTGCTCCGACAGCATCCCATCTGCATTGCCAACTCGAGTGGATGGCAGTTCTTATTACTGGCTTCATATCAGAAGCAGGTAGAGAGGAATAATGTGCCACTCATTCCCCTTCACCCCCACATGGGCGGGAATCCAGCAAAAACTGACTTTCCGGCCCCTAAGTTGGATGAGAAATAGCCACTGTAAAATAAGGTGTTGAGCACTGTCATGGACCATTTGTGCACACTACCAAGGGTCTGCTGGCTGAGAATGATACCAAATTCAACAGGAGTTGATCATTGAGGACACTTGTGGAGAAGGACATGATGTGCTACAGGATGCTGTTCCAGCAGAAGGAGGAGGGACACCAGACAACAATCACCTCCTTTTTCAAGCCCCTGTCACAGCCACAGCCACATCCCTTGACTTCTGGGGTCCCCAGCCACACAGGACCCTCCTCATCTGACACCTCTTCAGTCTTGCCCACGTTCTGCACCATCTTTACAACCAGGACGAAGGCTAGACCTCCAGTCCCCACTGCGTCTTTAGCCTCTTCAGACTCAGATTAATGTCTCCACTCCACCTTCAACAGTCCCCTTAGCCTCGAAGGAGACATGTGATGATGACCAGACTTATTATTATGATGTGGCGAGTGCTGTTTAATTGTGTTATTGTACTAGTAGTATTCCAGGATACATATGGGGGTGATACATATGGGTATCCAATTGGCCAGGAACTTATCCCATTGAACCTTATGTTATAATGAACCTGATTTATTATATTTTTATTTGCGATGGAGTTTCCAGGAACCTAACCCCATCAAAAATAAAGGTTTACCTGTATTCCGAATCTTGATCAAATTCTAAATATTTATATTATCAAGTTCTACATTGAAATACTCACCATACAATCTATCTATCTATCTATCCTGCAATGATTCATATTGGGTGTGCAGTTTTAGGAACACAGCTACAGTGTGTTATTAGGGCAATTTCTTCCTCAAAAAAGTTTATATGAAATAATTTAAATGTTTAAGTGCCAGATGTTGTTGACAGCTAGGTTAAGCAAGCACATTAATTCATAAGCACAACACTCTCTGTTAATTAGAGAAAATAATTCCAGGGCAAAATATGATGTAAGGATGTTGCTGAACATATTTCAACAGGTCTAGTATTTTTGTACAATGGGAATATTAAACTCATAAAATAGGACCATTTCAAGGATTTGCCATTTAGCTATGAAGGCCTATGCCTAGTAACTGGACCAAAGATGGTGGACAGGTCAAGAAAAAAAAGATGGAACCAAAGCTTTTAACATGGTGTGCATATTAATCACACAATACTACAAAGGCCTATTTTGGGCCAATAGAACAATAGTTAGGGCCAAAGACACTGAGTGCCATAATTGAAAGCCTGTATTATCATAAGATGGTTCTGGCAAAGGGTCTAAGCCAGGCAATAAAGATAATGAACAATACAGAGTACAGTATGAGAATAACAGTTAAGTTACATTTACTTACCACCTTCATGTTAGCTATGATGGCCAGGTAATTACTCTCAGTCTCTCTCAGCTGGGCTCTCAAATCCTCTCTCTCTTGAACAACATGATTTTCTTCAGCAAGAGAATCTTGATGCAGATTTAATAATGCTTGTTCACTATCCACCTGAAGCACGAGATTACAGTTACAATTAAATCTTGTGTTATGAATGGTTTTACAATGTAAAGTAAAACATCACTAATACATTATTCAGATTTGTCAATTTTAATTAATTTGGCATTTTTATTAATGTTAGACTACCAAAACAATTGGCACAAATACTGCTTTTGAAAACAAAATGATTTGCGAAACAAATTTGACATTGCGCATGGTAAACCAAGTGGTGGCCAGATACTGCAGTAACAAGTTGACCATGTCACCTCCCCCGCTCCCGACCCACACCACATGTCACCCCGGGCATTCGCCAGTGACAATTAAAGTGGCCTAGATGACCCAGAGCCAGTGTCTGTACAAGATCCTTACTCTGCAGTGTTAATGTTTAATGTGCAAAATTGTTCCATGTAAAGTAGTTTAAAGTGTAAAACAGTGTTAAGTGTACAATAATATTAACTCTAGTACAGAAATAAAGTACTGTACAAGTGTATATATACTGTACAGAAAAAAGTCCAATATGTAAATGCAGTTGAGGTCGTAGTGTTAAATAAATTACTGTACTTTAGTGGATAAAGAAAGTTCAGTACAGTATTTCATACATATAGTGTATAAGAATTAAGAAAGTCAAGTGCAGTGATATAGGTACTTGACTCTGGGTTTGGTTTAGGCCTGGTATGGTCCTAGCAACACAAGTCATCACTTCATTCTACATCATGGTAAGTCAGATATTACTGTAAAACCACTTCATGAGGTATCTATTGGGAAGTAAAAATGAAAACCCTTTAGTGAATTCTTTGTCAGAGGCAAAGTGGTTGGGAGATGGACTAAGTGTGCCCCCTGTTCCCGAGCTGATTGTGCCCCTCCGACATCATTACTGTACACCAGTACCTCAACATATGCGAGTTCAACTCTTGCGAATTTAACTACCGTATATACCCGTGTATAGCACGAGTTCTTAAGACCAAATTTTTTGGCAAAAAGTTGGGGGTCGACCTCTATACGGGTAATAGTTTCGTTAGGTTGAAAAATATTTACCAGTAACTACCAGTAAACAATGGAAACGATGCACCAACGCACCACCCGCTGTGAGTGTCGGTACAGTTGCCAGGGCAGATCTCTTGCGTCATCATAGCAAGCCCAAAGTAGCCAAATGCATGGTATGGTATGCACAGGAGTATGTAAAACATAAAGTATTCTTTTTTAAAATTTTATTTATAGATACATAAATTTTTGTTAATTAAATTTGAAACATCAATCGTTGTTAATTAAATTTGAAACAAAAGAAAAATACGATACCTTATTTATAAATATTTTCATTAAAATATTACATCACAAGTATATTTTACCTTAACTGTGCCTGAATGAATATATTCTCAGAAATAAATATGGAAATGTAATATTTTTGCTGAAATGACGTACGTATTACAGTGGAAAGTGGGATAAAATTGTGACGAAAACAATGACTCTCTTTCGTCGTTCAAAAGATTTTACCGTAATCGCTTTTCGAATGGTTTTCAGTTAAAAAAACTGTTGTATTACAATAATATTCTATCCTAATTGACTTGAATAAATACTACGATACCATATTTCTGAATATTTTCATTAAAATCCATCAAAATCATTTTCCTTATCATCTGCAGCACCAAACAGCTCCTCCCAGTCCTCTCCTTGAACAGCATCGTCATATGGATCAACACCATCATCAGCCATAGGATCATCAATATCTTCATCCTCATTCACGCTCTCATTAGCCTCATAATCCCACAACAAGTCGTCTTCTGTTCCATCAAGAGCATTCGAAATCCCACATTTCTTAAAAGATTTCACCACAATTTCTGGTCTGATTGCATCCCAGGCCTCTACAATCCATTCACATAATGTTGCTAGTGATGGAGCTTGGATGTTGCCTCCCTTTGTGTATGTCTTATCGCCTTCTATCATCCAGTTGTTCCACTTCACTCTTACCGCATCTTTAAATGGTTTGTTTATGGAAACATCCAGTGGTTGGACAAGACTTGTTAATCCACCAGGAATCACAGCTGTATCAGTGTTTTCCTTCCTAATCCCAGCAGTAACACTGTCAACAAGATGTGACCGAAACATATCCCACACAAAAAGACTTTTTTCTTTGCGCAGTCCCCCTGGTCTAAAGTTCCAGACTTTTTTAAGCCATATTTGTATGCCGCCTTCATCCATCCATCCTTTCTCGTGCACATGGATGATTAAAAAAATGCTGTCTGACTTGCAACACTGTTGGTAGGGTCAGGTGGTTCTAACGGCACCTGCCAGGACCCGGTAATCAAATATATAACAGTGTCTATCCTCAATTACTGTAGTTTATCTGATGTAGGCAATATGAAGTAAAAAATACCAGTTAAAGTGAGAAATTGGAAGAGAATAAACAAGAAAGATGTCGTTGGGCTATTTTTGGTAGGGCTGAGGGAGAGAGTACCAGCTGTTTGGTCTTTTTTGGCGGGAGAGTCACGCAAATAACCGTAGTACTGGTATTTGTTTGGTGTCTTCTGTATTTTTAAAAATGAATACTTGTAAATTAAAAGTACCGTAACATTGTATTATATACAAACTTGTCATATTTCTGGAAAATAAGAAGCAAGAAAATAAGAATATACCGGTAAACACAATTTCAACGTACGCTAAAATTAAAAGCTGCTTAAGAAGGGCCGATGCAAACAAAGCCTCCGCGACCAGGGCTCTGCCGTATCAGCTAGACGGTACACGTGTTTTTCGAATCGTTTTCAGTTAAAAACTGTTACATCTCAAGTGAATTAGGATAGAATATTATTGTAATACAACAGTGTTTAACTGAAAACCATTCGAAAAGCGATTACAGTAACATCTTTTCAACGAAAGAAAGCGAAAGTCATTGTTTTTGTCACGATTTTATCCCACTTTCCACTGAATACGTACGTCATTTCAGCAAAAATATTACATTTCCATATTCTCAGAAATAAATAGTAGTTTTGCTGAAACGTGATGTATTTCAATGTAAATTAGGATAAACTACATGCAGAAAACAAAAGATTTTACCTAACCTTCCGATGTTCAAGATATGTTACTCGCTTTTTTAATAGTTTTCGGTTAAAATACAGTTATATAGTGATATTCTATTCATACTGTGGTTGATATAATACATTCACGGAAATGTAATATTTTTTGCTGAAATGACGTACGTATTACAGTGGAAAGTGGGATAAAAATTGTGATGAAAACAATGACTTTTGCTTTCTTTCGTTCAAAAGATGTTACCGTAATCGCTTTTCGAATGGTTTTCAGTTAAAAAACTATTGTATTACAATAACATTCCCTCCTAATTGACTTGAATAAAGACTTGAATGGAAATATACAATATTTTTGTTGAAATTACCCGAGTTTTACTGTAAAGTGTCGTAATAATAAATGGTAAACAAGTTTATAGGACGTAGAGTGTTTTTACTGAAGGTTTTGTTGTTCCTTTACCCTCAAAAACTTGGGTCGACCTATAAATGAGGAATATCATAAATTAACGATTTCTTGGTCAAAAAATCGGGGTCGACCTATATACGAAGGGGGGTTATAGACGAGTATATACGGTATCTGTGAAACAACCCCAGAGGTGTTTATCTATTAACCCTCTCGCGTACGAGATAAGTTCAAAGTTTTCCAGTTCCAAGATCACATCTCTGGGGCCCCAGGGCAGGTGAGACAGTGCACAGTGAATATTTTTTTTTGGCTTTATCAATTTCTCCCCCCAAAAATTGTTTTTATTGGCATAAACCATATACCTTTGGCTTCGTAACTGATTGCTCTGCAACATAAGCTAAAAAACAAATAATAATACAAGTATACAGTAGTACCCCGATTTACGCGGTCAATTGAACCCACAGGGTACCGCGTTAAGTGAAATCCGTGTAAATGGAACAACAGAACATATGGGATTAATTCCAATAGAGACTGGCCCGACCCCCAAACTCCACTTTTTCCGACACAATACCTATGTTCTAGTAAAAATAACATCTTAATTTTATGATGGTACATGCACACAATTAATACTTAAGAGAAATAGAGAAATACAGTCGCCAAGTTAATGTCCATTCAAATAATGGACTCAACTCCCTCCCCCTCTTCTCACACTACACTGCTGGCTCTTCCCTCTCTGAGAAATTTTGGGGGAAAACCACTAGATTTTAATAAATAATACCTCAAACTAAAGTTAGGATAATATAATTGACATTGCTGGATTCCTTGTAAGACCAGGAATATTTTGAATATAAATGTCATATATTTTGCACAAAAGATAATATATTTACTCAGAGTAAACATTATATCTAAAATTTGTATGTCTAATGCAAAATCTATGATGTTTATATTCAAAATGATCATCAAATTGTAAGAATTCCAGCAATGTAAATTATATTCTGGCCGGTTAATTTGTATGAATTTTATGAGCTAAAACAAATATCTTCAGTTAATAAAAAAAAAAAAATTCTTCACGACACTATCTGTCAATCAAAGTACCCCACCTTGCCTCCCCCCTCTTCCAACCGCGCCAGATGGTCGGTCCGTCCCAACCATCCCCCCCACCCCCCACCAACCCTCCCTACAAGAGAAATGTTGGGTGAAAAACTAGATTTTAACATTTAGTATTAAATAATACCTCAGATTAAAGTTAGGATAATATAATTGACATTGCTGGATTCCTTGTAGGACCAGGAATATTTTGAATATAAATGTCATATATTTTGCACAAAAGATAACATATTTACTCAGAGTAAACATTATATATAAAATTTGTATGTCTAATGCAAAATCTATGATGTTTATATTCAAAATGATCATCAAATTGTAAGAATTCCAGCAATGTAAATTATATTCTGGCCGGGTAATTTGTATGAATTTTATGAGCTAAAACAAATATCTTCAGTTAATGAAAAAAAATTAAATATTCTTCACACCGTGCCAGATGGTCGGTCGGTCCCTCCCTCCCCCCCACCCACCACCAACCCTCCCTACCA